ATATAATATTGAATTAAAATACCTATAACATTTGTATGTTTCTTTCTATTATCTATAACAATTAAGAATCAAGTCAAATTGAATTAAAATACGTACAACATTTGTATGTTTCTATATATTATCTATAACAATTAAAAATCAAGTTAAACCAAACTAAGAATAAGGTTTAACAATAGAAGTTTAATTTTGATCATATGGGATAATACAATGGGTATTTTCAAATATTTAAGTAATGGATTTTAGTTTTCGGGTTAAAAAACTAATTGGTTTTGAACCCAATATTACCAAAGAAATTAGTTTAGGGTATAAGTAATGGGGAACGGGTTTTTCTTTGAACCACACGTGTATGTGGCGTGTCCGTGGAGAATCAGTGTCCGCCACATGTCGGACACGGACATGACACCCAAAACGCGCCGAGTAACCTAGCGGTGCACAAAGCTTGCTCCAGTTTAAAGAAGCATAAACAAAAGAAAATATAATATAATGGAAATGCTTACATATTTTTCCAGTTCCCGTTTTTGCTGTAGAAGTTGATCCTTTAATTGTTGATTCTCTTCCATCTGGAAGAAAGAAGGTTTAGTCACAACTGCAAATTTTACAAATTAATAGCCTCCATAAATCACAGATAAAAGTATGGATTGAGTCCAGTTCCAAACTAAATGCAAGCTAAATATGTAATAAGTCGAGCACATCCACACACAGACTAAATATATGTCTTTTAACTGAAACTTCAAACTAGCCTCCTAGCAAGAAATGACTGGAAAAGCAGTAGTCCAATGTCCTACCAGCATTGTGCTAGCATCAGAATACATCATATACTATCGGAAAGCTTCATACCTTAAAAACATATCTCTTGATTTATTTTTTCTTATTTTTCTCATGCGTCATCATTGTAACATACCTCTATGACATATTGCATGTCTAACTCGCACCTGAAAGGCTTAACTTAAACTGAAGGCAAAACTTTCTGCAGATGGATACATTTCTTATTCTAAATTCCCTTGTATATTTTTCCATTAAATACACTTTTCAGTTGTCGTGACATGTGCAAACTTCAAATAATTCCAACCCATTATTTCCTCTTTGTTTTGGGAGAAACAAGATGGGATCTCAAGGACCCAAGCCACAAACTTCTATTACCAATTGGCTAGATACAGAATTATCTTTTATCCCTAGCCATAAAAGGTACATACAATCCATTACTTGAACTTCAGACATGTATAGCTTCCATATCTCCCCTATTACTTCAAATAATGATGCCACTTTCATCCTAATCTCAGTAATATGCGTAGACATTATATAGCTTCAGAAGACTTGCCGATAAATTAGAAACACAAGTGCATCCAGCCCATTGTTCGTCAATTCTACAAGAAAGCGCCATAAATAAAACCATTGATAGCAAAATGTGGGTAACTTAAAGGTTTAACAGTATTTTAGAGGGTAAATTGGCAAATATGAAGAATTGGACAGTAATGCATGCTTATATTTTACCTCAAGAACTGGAAATTCCTCGAAAATCTTTGAATTTAATAAGGGCTGCATTAAGCAAGTTTGGGAGAGAACAAGATAACAAAGTGGGATTTGTACTGAGTACGCTAATGGCAAGCCTTCTAGTAACTAATAATCTAATACACTACAGTGTCATGGCGATTAAGCAGATAAAAATAGAAAAGCACTTAAATAAATGGATTATATAAAGATTTTAGTTTGCAATAACTTGCCAAGAATCATGCAGTCTCCCAACATTTCACCTTAAAATTCAGCTTTGTGAACAAAATTTTGGGACAAAAGGTGCTTATACACTTATACACTACTAGATTATGAGGGTGACTTTAGTCCCGCATTAACTTAATGGGGAGTCAGTTGGTTACATAATTTTGGGAAAATAGGTGCTCCTGTGCTCCTAGATGGTTAGGGTCTATTCGGGTTCCCTCCCTTTAATTGCTATCTTCTTAGAGGTGAATTATGATAAGCTTCCTACAATTGGTACCAGAGCCGACCCACCCCACTTTCCCAATTGCAAAGGCATGACATCGTAATTGCATCATTCGGCTAGAACTTCACTAGTATGAAGCCAGCCCATGCGCCGAAAGGGTTAATTTTGTCCCACGTTAAGGAAATTGGGTTTACTCACTCTAACAGCTACCTTTTATTAGGATTGTGTGTTTGATTCTTTGTATAACTTCATGGGAATTAAATAGGGTTAGAGATCTATCATGATTAGGAAATTAGGTCTCATCATGATTAGGAGTTTGAATCTCATTCTAATTAAGAAGTTAGGCTAGAGATAGGGTTTTGGTTTCCATATATATATATTCTTCTATTGTTGGAGGAAAAACCAAGCAGATGAGAAAGAGTCAATATTCTTGTAATCTAGGGTTAGCAGAGGGTGTAGCCTAATTCAAGAATATTGTGCAAGAGGCGAGGGTTTCATAGTCTTTGTCCGTGCAAAAGATTACATCATTGGGAGAGGGTTTCGTAGTCTTTGTCCGTTCAAAAGATTGTAAGGAGAGGGCTTTAGAGATAATATGAGAGTTGATTATGTATGTAAGGTTGAGAGATTGAGAGACAAGAGTTGAGTGGTTCCTCTTGTAGTTCTCCCTGATACATAGTGGATTTCTCGTATTGTTGCCTGTGGACGTAGGTCGAAGTTAGTTGACTGAACCACGTAAATCTCGGTGTTCTTTCTTCTTAATTGTAGTTATTTTATATCTTATTGATTGTGAGTTGGCTTCCAAGTTACCCAAATCGTAGTAGGCGGGGAGACTAAAATTCCCAACAAGTGGTATCATAGCCATTATGATGGATCTGAGAACGAGTTCGCAAGATAGACGTCGTAAAAAAGTAAAGATTGGCGGCGTTATAAAAAATCAAGATGAAAAAAAGGAAGGAACAGCCATTGCCGGCAGGAGGATTTAACGGCGACTAATCGTCCAGAGGAGGGCGCCCGAGGGATGCGGTGTCCGACGGTGAAGTCTGCAGGCGACTGCAGCAGTGAATCGCAGTTTCGAGGAGGTGCAACCGGTCACCGACAGAGGGCTTGCGTGGAGACGAATTGACAGAGCAGGCGACAACAAGTTGGCGGAGTTGCTTGAAAGAATTCTCAAGAGGGCTTCGGTTGTCTCTGTTTGTGAAAATCACGTGAGGAGAAGCCATGTCACCAAAACTCGTGTGGCAGGGAAAGAAGTTGTAAAGGAGAAAGAAAGTGCACGGGGTATGTCAGGGGACTATGGACGTGGATGAGTACTGTAAACGTGGGTGAGAATGAATCTTTTATTTGAAAGAAAGCATGTTGGTAGTCGTGGTGTTTGGTGTTCTGGATGAGATCGAACGGTCTAGAATGATTGGTGAGTAGATGGCTAAATCGATGGCGGATTTTGGCGATCTAGCAGTCGATTCCTAGGTTTTGGAGTACTTTGAACACGATGGGAGGGTTTGATTTTTCAGATTTTGTTCAGATTGGTCAGAAAATGCTAAAAAGTTCTGATGGTGATAACGAGACAGACCTGATGGCAGATATGACAAACGAGTATGTGACGGATGGGACTAGTGTAGAGAATCAGATATGACTCTAGCTGTAGAGTTATCAGCATATAATTATTCAGTCATCACGGGAGCAGAAGTTGTTTGTGTATAGACTCGAGAAGGACAGTGTCAGATTAGGTGAAGCTTGCAAGTAGGCACGATAGAGTGACACACATGCTGATGGAGATGGTGGCATTAGACTTGAAGACGATGAGCGCTCATATTCGGTCCAATCCAAGTGATGGAGAAAATAGAGGCATCCGGCTCGTAGTGTGGAGTAGAAGAGGTGCACTCATATGATTCGAGACGAGCGATGCGGGTGGAGTATGAGGACAGCAAGTGGGGGAAGGCTACTGCCAAGTTTAGTTCGGAAGGAGAAGCACAATTGATTTGCTTCTAATGTCAGAGGTGACGAAGATCTCTTGGTGTACACAAGAGAGGTGGAGGCGTCACGACGAAGCAGGTGATAGCGAGGGTCACGAGACGTCCCAATTGGAGTGCAAGTGCTTCGGTTTGAAGTGTAAAAGAATAGAAGACGCTAGCAGGAGAGACAAAATTTCAAGGCAACGATGATATATCTTCAAGGGAGTTTAGGAATCAAATTCAATGTGGAGATTATTGGGATTATGTCTTTAATTATTTGTATAACTTCATGAGAATTAGATAGGGTTTGAGATCTATCATGATTAGGAGAGTGGGTCTCATCATGATTAGGAGTTTGAATCTCATTCTAATTAAGAAGTTAGGCTAGAGATAGGGTTTTGGTTTTTATATATATATTCTTCTATTATTGGAGGAAAAACCAAGCAGATGACAAAGAACCAATATTCTTGTAATTTAGGGTTAGCAGAGGGCGTAGCCTAATTCAAGAATATTGTACAAGAGGCGAGGGTTTCGTAGTCTTTGTCCATGCAAAAAATTACATCATTGGGAGAGGGTTTCGCAGTCTTTGTCTGTTCAAAAATTTGTAAGGAGAGGGCTTTGGAGATACTATGAGAGTTGATTATGCATGTGAGGTTGAGAGATTGAGAGACGAGAGTTGAGTGGTTCCTCTTGTAGTTCTCCCTGATACATAGTGGATTTCTCGTATTGTTGCTCGTGGACGTAGGTTGAAGTTAGTCGCCTGAACCACGTAAATCTCGGTGTTTTTTCTTCTTAATTATAGTTATTTTATATCTTATTGATTGTGGGTTGGCTTTCAAGTTACGCAAATTGTAGTAGGCGGGAGACTAAAATTCCCAACACCTTTTTGGAGGTAAAGTTTCTAAATTCTTTAGATCTCAGCACAAACGAATAAATCAGCAATCCAAAATAAAAACTCATAAGTGACAGGATCTTCTCAAAAACCTCAAACGTTTTTTCAATATCCAAAATCAATATCCAAAAAGAATACCAAAAACTGACCTGCTGCTTGATCGTGTTCTCCGCGTCCTCGACAGCTCGCATCACCTGATAGATGCTGCTGCTATCATCCGATCGCTCGCTCACCGCGATTCCCGACAATCGGTCGTTGACCCTGTCGACCTCGTCGGCGCTAGGGTTCCATGGCGGCTGCCTAGGGTTTGGATCGTAAGGGTTGGAGTCGTAGGCTCCCATGAGCAGAGATCCGAGGTATTTGAAAGTTTTGGGATTGGAATTTGGAAACCCTAGGGTTTGATTCTTGGGCGGAAATTGAAGGGAAGGAGCTCGTGAGAGTGAGTGATGTGAGAGGTTTTGGGGGAGTTGGAGACTGAGAGAGCCGTTCTTGTTTCTTACTTTTCTTTCTCCTAGCTTTGTTTGTCTTTTTCCTGAAATTTTTTCAATTTTGAGTCCCTGTGATGTTTTTATTGCAGAACAAATTTTCGAATTAAACCCATTTAATTTTTTTATTATAAAAATCGACTCAATCAACTTTTTATTAGCAAAACCGACCCATTTCGTGTCACGTCAGTAGCGTGGCCACGAAATTGATCGGTTTTTTTTAAATGACGCCGCTAAATAGTCGGGGTGCCAACCCCGACTATTTAGTTATGTCGGGGTTGACAACCCCGACTATTTAGCTATGGGCAAGCTAAAATAGTCGGGGTTTCCAACCCCGACTAATTTAGGCCCTTCTCTAATTGATCGGGGTTGGCAACCCAACCATTTGGAAAGCCCATTTCGAAATGGTCGGGGTTCCCAAACCCGACTATATGGCAGAGACATCTGGCCCAGCCGCCGAGCGGTGAAAACGGCTAAGTGACAATAGTCGAGGTTCACAACCCCGACTATTTGTTCACTGGGCCCGCGACCTATATAAAGGCCACGACTTCACTCTCCTCCCTCCTGTTCGGTTCCAGCCGCCTTTCTCTCTCATTTTCGTCGTTCTCCTCCTCCCAAACTCTCTTTGAGCCACGGATCTCAGCTTTCAACCTTAAGTTTTGTGCGGAATTTTAGGGGTGAAATATCTAACAGGTACTTTCTCTCCCTTCTCTCCTCTTTTGACACGTAGAAATCTAGGGTTTTCTCTCCAAAATGAATTTATAGTGTTTGAACTCTATTTGTAGTGGTTTATTTAGAAATTTTATTCTTGTTGTAGTTGAAATTAAATATTTGGGGACATAGAATACTCAATTTTAGGGTTTAGAATTTGGGGGTCAATTTTAGGGTTTAGGATTTGGGGGTTTACGGTTGTAATTGGGTTTTAGGGTTGTAATTAGGTTTTAGGGTATTAATTGATAATATTTTTTAATTTTTTTGCATTTAAATGATATAATTTTGATTTGCATAGGTTGAACAGTATGATTTTTATTGTTTGTTCTTATGGTGGAACGATTAAGTATGGAATGAATAATATGCCAATGTACGTCAGAGGGGTGACAATCGCGTTAATGATATCGGAATCATACAGTTACCTTGACTTGGTTAATGAATTGCATGGAGTTACGACAATTGACCCACGAGATTGCCGTCTAAAAAAATATGCAATTGGCCGATAACTTATGATAGAACGTCCGCAGATGAGATCTCAAACAATCATTCGATGAGTATTTTGTTTAATTTGAGCAAGTCACAACCAACGGTAGAATTGTTTATTGAAACGGTGCCACATAGTACGGGCCGAATATTCAACCCTCCAGGAGAATTATCACGCATGTTAGATTTGGAAGTTGAGTCTGAAGGCTTTCTTTCTTCTTCAAGTGAAATACAGCGGACTCAATTTCAATATAAGGGTGGTGCACCTTCATATGAAGAGGATGAAAGAAGCGACGCCTCTGATGGTGAAGATGAAGATAGTGCACCACTTGACAGCATGCAATTTGTGGGTGAAGATGATGAAGAGAATCCGGATTGGCCAGGTGAAGCTTATGTTAATAATGAATATGTTGAATACGAAGAACCACCCCCCGACGAGTTTAAGGATGATGAGTGGGTTCGTTCTTCCACAGTACATGATATCCGCATTGGCGAAAGTTCATCCAATAGAGGAGATGATGAGGAGGTACCTTTCAGATGCTATTCGTGATTACTCAATCAAAAAGTTGGTCAAATTCAAGCAAATTAAAAGCAATCGTACAAGTTATGAGGCAATCTGTTTTATGAATACACAAAGGCAAGGTCGGGCAGAGGGGAATGAATCTGATTACGCATGTCCTTGGAAGTTATATGCATTTGCCGGAAAGAAACATAATGGGTATTTTAGGATCACAAAATACTGCGGTGTTCACACGTGTAACAATCCAATGTTCGAGAGAGACCACAGTGGTGCCTCCACCTCTTACATAGCTCGGTTGATTATGCCAAGATTAAAGAAGAAGCTTGAACTAAAGCCCGATGACATAATTGAGAGAGTGTCACATGATAAGTGGATTGAAATATCGTATATCAAAGCGTGGAATGCAAGGAGAATTGCGATGACAAAAATATTTGGTGATTGGGAGAAGTCTTACGCGACTCTGCCTCAATATCTTTATGCGATCAAAAGAAGCAATCCTGGATCTGAATACAAACTCATAACCAAAGAGGTCAATCCGGGAGTTCATAAATTCACATCTGTATTTTGGGTATTTGGTCCTTCGATCGAGGGATTTAAATTTTGTCGGCCGATCCTTAGCATTGATGGGACACACTTATATGGTAAATATAAGGGTGTATTGCTTGTCGCTACAGGAGTAGATGCAGATGGGGGCTTATTTCCTTTAGCCTTTGCAGTTGTAGAGGTCGAGAACAGTGAAAATTGGGAGTGGTTTTTTTCTTGCATCCAATTATATATTTTTAATGTGTTGCCTTCTAGAAAAATTACTTTTATATCCGATAGGATGAAAGGTATTCCAAGAGCATTGTACAGGAGATTTGGCTCTGATCACAATCACTGCTATTGCTTACGACACATTAGAGCTAATTTTAAAAAGAGCTTTGGTCAAGTACATCTACAAAACCTTCTTTGGCAAGCGGGTGTTACACCCGAAACGTGTGTGTATGATCGGATACGTGATCAAATCAAGGCAACATCTCCAGCTGCACATGATTGGATTGAGAGTAGTTTGGGAAACGATTACGTCGACTGGTGGGCACTAAGTAAAGATGGAGGGAATCGCTATTGCATGATGACAACTAATTGTTCTGAAAGCTTCAATGGTGTACTTAAGGGGGCTCGAGCAATGCCCATACAGGCGTTGGTTGCAAGGACATTTTATAGACTAAATAAGTATTTTGTCAAGCGGCGAGAGGATGGAGCAAAGTGGGGGACGTTGTTGACCTCAAAAAATGAAGAGATTATAGGAGCTCGTGTCAAGCAGGCCAGATTGACTAAGATTGTGAGATTTGCTATAGATGAATGGGAGGTTACAGACAATCACGGTCATAATTACACCGTCAATCTACGAGGGACACAATGCGCATGCACATGTAACATTCCAAAATTGCAAAAATTGTCATGTGCACATGTTATAGCGGTTACGACCAAGCAATTTGGGGGTGCAAATACATCGTATTACACATACGCTTCTGAGTGGTACCAATCAAGCCACTATAGAGATTCGTACAGTCAGTTTTTTCATCCCATTGTAGATAGTCGTTACTGGCCACCCTATAACGGGCCTCATGTGTTACCTCCTGAATTTAAGAGGTAAGCCGGACGCCCGAGATCAACACGCATAAAGTCTACGATGGATGGAGGTCGGGAAGGAGTTCCAAAAACAAATTGATGTGGATATTGTAGACAACCGGGCCATAGGAGATCTCATTGTCCCACCAATCCAAATAAATAGCAATTAATGGGTATAATTATTCTATTCTTTGTTAATTATTCAACTTCGTTTATACTTCATTATATTCTACTTCATTATATCATCATATGTGCTTCATTTATATCATCATATGTGCAGATATGGAGGCGGGGCCATTGACGTATGAGGTCCTTTATGACCAACCTCGACATCGATCCGCGAAGATTGACACTGGGGAGGTAATTAGATTGATAGTTATAAATTACATTTTCAATCATATCAATTATTCTAAGTTATTGGTTGTTACTGAACATTTGCACTGTTTATTATATGCAGGCCCCGAGCATTACTATCGTTGATCACACTCATGCACACTCGAGCTGGGAGTTGACCGATCCACATGTCCAATATTATGTCCATCAAGCATGCTTCTTTGAGTGCTCACAAATTAAATGGGTGAGACTTGATTGGGCTCTCTTGACGGCATTGGTTGAACGATGGAGGCCCGAGACAAACACATTCCACCTGCGCCAAGGAGAGTCGACGATTACATTGCAGGATGTAGGGGTTTTGCTTGGACTCCGAGTGGATGGAGATGCTATCACAGATAGCGACGACTTCAACTGGTCAGACAAGTGTGAAGCATTGTTGGGTCAAGTTCCTCACATGAGGGGTGGAAGGATCAAACTTGAATGGGACAAGTGTGAAGCATTGTTGGGTCAAGTTCCTCACATGAGGGGTGGAAGGATCAAACTTGAATGGTTGGGAAACAATTTTATGGATGTTCCGATCGATGCGACCGAGGAGATCGTCAAGATGTATGCCCGTGCATACATACTTCACATGATCGGTACTATTCTATTCCCGGATTCCACGAAGGATTCGGTGCACGTGAGGTGGTTGCCACTCCTGGAGGATCTTGTGGATTGTGGGGGATTGTCATGGGGGAGTGCCGTGTTAGCGTATCTGTATAGGGAGATGACCAAAGTGGCTCTTGTTCAAAACAAAGAATTCAAGGGTTGTCTCACTCTGCTACAGATATGGTCTTGGCTCTTGTTCAAAACAAAGAATTCAAGGGTTGTCTCACTCTGCTACAGATATGGTCTTGGGAGAGATTGTATTTGGGTTGCCCAGATTTTATAGAGGCACGTGCTCTCGATGGCAATATTCCGTTAGGCAGCAGGTATTACTAAGTTATTTTAAAAAATATATGATTACATGTAATTTTATACATTTATTTTAATTTATACTAACTCATTGTATATAAATTAGATGGAATGTATCTCATATCTCACCAAAGGGTTATTAAAACTTCTATAGGAACGAGCTCGATCAAATGGAGGACGAACAGGTATTAAATCATAATATCTAAAAATTTTCAATCATTACATCATTTATTACTGAAATCTGCTTTACTTTATCTTTTTATAGGTCAAGTGGATGCCATATGAACAAGTTTTAGAGTCACTACTAGATATATGCACAGAAGAGCCGGATGTGTGGCGTGCTCGCGTCCCGATCATATGTTTTGAGATTGCCGAGATGCACGTGCCCGACCGTGTGCTCCGATAATTTGGGCTACAACAACATATCCCGGGCCCTGTGGAGATAATAGAGAGAAATCCCAGAAAAGGTGCACATCGTCAAGATTGAGAACATATTCACAATGCTTACACCGGGAGGTGAGATAACAGGGAAGAACAATTGGTGATGGAGAGGGTTGACGCACCTGACCTAGGTGTGTATTTGCGGTAGTATTGGGGGATTACTCGCTGGTGGATATTTCAGGAGAACAAAGCCCCTAAGGAATACATACCAAGAGGCCCAGTTGAGAGAGAGTTGGTAAGTGTATAAGCAAAGTATACAGTTATCTTGTGAGTTTTATTTTATTATCATCCAAATCATAATAGCTTTCTTGGGGTTTTTATCGTATAGGTACAAGAGCTCGAAGTACTTTCTACTATGGCGCATGATGCAATCCGAACGACTACCGAGCCAGGGCTGAGGAACACGTTCCTTCGCATGATCAAAAAGATTCGGTCCGCTCTTCAAAGGACGCGTAATGCAAGATGAGATGGACATGAGGAGCGACCAATTGAGTACGGTCGTCGTCGGTTCCGAGGACACACAGGGGCAGGCTCAAGCGGTGCACATGATGAAGCTGGCGGCTCACAGCAGGCCCAAGCCGAATGTTCACAGTCGGTTCGAGTCGATGAGGATGTCATGCACTCCCAACTTCACACACAACCGGACGAGGAACTGATCCGAGCTCACGTCGAAGGTGAACGTGTTAGGGGGAGAGGGAGGGGGAGAGGGAGAGGGAGAGGGAGAGGAAAGGGAGTTGTATCTGATTGAAACTGAATATTATGTATCTGATTGAGTATTGATAGGGTGTTTGCATTTGAAACTAAATATTATGTATTCAATTGAGTATTGATTATTACTATGTGAATTACATGGTATGTATCCGATTGATTATGGATTTTTATTTGAGATTATTGATTGGTACGTGTGTTATTGTGATTATGATTGCATTGTGGATTGATATGTAACAGCAGGAGTTTGAATTTCCAGCGAAATTCGTATTTCCAGCTATTTTCAGCTGAAAGAGTCTGCCAAATGGTCGGGGTTGGGAACCCCGACCATTTTGTGCACGAACACGAAACGGTCAGGGTTCCCAAACCCGACCATTTTGTCGTAGCAAAATAAACATCAGCTACCTCTCTGCCAAATGGTCGGGATTGCCAACCCCGACCAATTAGAGAGGGGCCTAAATTAGTCGGGGTTGGAAACCCCGACTATTTTAGCTTGCTAAATAGTCGGGGTTGCCAACCCCGACATAACTAAATAGTCGGGGTTGGCAACCTCGACTATTTAGCAGCGTCATTTAAAAAAAACTGACCCATTTCGTGGCCACGCTGCTGACATGGCACGAAATGGGTCGGTTTTGCTAATAAAAAGTTGATTGAGTCGATTTTTATAATAAAAAAAATTAAATGGGTTTAATTCGAAAATTTGTTCTTTTATTGCATGTTGACACAGGACAGAGCGTGACAATTACGCTCTGGAGTCTTGCACTGCCGTAGTAATTTATACAAATATTTAAATGAAATAATAAACAGTGAAGTTTCTTGTTTTGCAGAAAACTTATTTTTGAGCTGCAAAACAAGATTATCGGAAATTAACTGTAAATGTACTTTGAAAAGTGTGATTGTTGTAGCATTTTGTTGCATGTAAGATAACTCATTTTGTTGCAGGGCTATCTAGAGGATGGTTCAGATAAAAGGAAAATTTGTATTGGAATTGATTTGTAGAAACTAAGGCCCCATCATTGCCCAATTTTTTGTCCGATACGAAAATCTTTTTAATCACACCGGAGTCAACCCCACCATGTTTTTTGAGATTAGTACCGGATTATATTTGATAACCCTTTATGATTATATCAGGAGGATTGCTCCGACAATGGACTAGTTTGAAGACTGCTTTTTTGGTAAAGGAAATGAGGCTAGTGCTGACTTTGATTTTCCTACCCCTATTTTTGTAAAAACACAAATTTTTCCCTAAAAAAACTGGAAATAGGATCGGTTTTGGCCCCATTATTTATGGTTGCAAAACAAAGACGAGGTTACGTTGCAATTTTTTCTTGATAAAAGTGTATTGCCCAAAGTCCCCACAAACTTTGTCGTTTCTCATAAACCCTCTGAACATTATTCATCTCACTGAATATTGAGGAGAAAATTCCCCATGAAATCCCTCAATTAACATTCTTTATTTTTAATCTCAACACATGCTAAGCAAGTGGCTTCATTTAAATAAAATCATTTCTTGCAGATAATTTTCCATCGAAACACTATTGAACTCTTGATTTCTTCTCATGAGACCCATTGATCTCATGATTTGGTTACCACAACCTCCCACCTTATGCCTACCAGGACACTGCTTTTGTTGATAACCTCCCATCTAGGGGTGTGCAACGGTCGGTTCGGTTCGTTTTTTACCAAAATTTGAACAACCGAACCGAACCGAACCGCCTATAATTCAAAACCGAACCGAATTGTTGCAAGTCGGTTCGGTGCGGTTCGGTACCGAACCGAATTGTTGCAAGTCGGTTCGGTGCGGTTCGGTTCGGTTTGTTCGGTTCTAACTTCATCAAATTTCTTATCAAACAACAGTGCGGTTCGGTTCGGTTTGTTCGGTTCTAACTTCATCAAATTTCTTATCAAACAACAAACTGTGTTAAAAAAAAAGATATCAACAAAGTAGGTGATTATGAAGCATTAAACATTAATATAATGATATTGTTTTCAACCCATAATGATTCAGAAAATGAGTTTAGGGTTTGAGTCTTTGACTCTTTGGAGACGGGTCGGGTAGGGTTTGAGATCAGAATGGGTAGTATTGTACTATATTCGGTCGGTTCGGGTTGAAAAGTTTTCAAACCGACCCGAACCACCTTACTCATAAAACTGATTTTTTCGGGTCGGTTCGGTCGGTTTTTTCGGTTTGGACCGAACCATGCTCAGCCCTACTCCCATCTTATGACTTGGTCCAGGAAAGAAAGGAAACTTATAACAAAGCTAATCGGCTAATAAGAAAATTACGACTTTTTTGTTTTATTGATGATATTTAGATTATCTAATGTTGAACAGTGACAACTTAATGAATATGTTGAGAAAAAATAAAAGTGTAGAGAGGAAGTAATGTGAGGCACTTTAAAAGTTCAAGAGTTTAATACAAAAAAGTTTGGGGACCTAACCGAAAAACAAAGTTTAATGATTTTTTTTGGAAAATAGCTTAAATTTATTTTTGAAAAAAATAAAAGCAACAAAATTTTCATGTGATATCATTTATTTTTCAATTGCTATACAAGAGAAAAAAAGACAAATTTCAAATTTTGTATCCGTTCTAATTTTCATTTACTTTTGAATGGTCAAACTGGCGTGACGAAACTAAAAAAAATCTAGCATTAAAATAATTAAGGTTTTTTTATGATATAAGATCCCCAAATCTTCCTTATTTCTGAATAACACCCCCATATCTTGATATTTCTAAATAGCCCCCCTCCCCTCCAAAAAAATCATGTAAGTTGTTAAAAAAACCTCCTCATGGATGTTTTCCATCCAAATGACTTACCCATGGTCGATCCTTAACCATGTAGGTTAAATTGCAATAATATCATTGCTCAATAACTCCAATAACTCAACCTCCTTATATTTTATCTCTCTCTCCCCCTATCTCTATCGAATGTCAAGACCCAAGAACTCAAGTCTTAATAAAGAGGCTATTTAGAAAAGGGGTGAATATAATTTGATCATTGTTGCACATCAAGGGTATAACGGTCCATCCAAAATAAAAATTTAACGGTGACGGTGACAATATGAGTTCCTTTTGACCGAAGGGTTCTTTCAACAACTTACATGATTTTTGGGGGTGAGGTTTTTTTAAAAATATCAAGCTTTGAGGGGGGTTATTTAGAAATAAGGAAGATGTGGGGGTCTTATATCATAAGAACCCAATAATTAATGAGTATTAAAAAATAATTATTTAAATAATTCTAACGTAAGATGACAATATCCAACAGCCCCAAAAATAATGTAATCGCAGTTTCCAAAGCTCCTCTTCCGCTTCTCTCTTTCTTTCTCCAGTAGATCCCTAACCAAGATTCGATCTTTCCCCACTCCAGAGCCGTAGATCTCCGCTTCCTTTTGCACGCCCCTCGATCTCGACTCCCCTTTCACAAAATGCGGCTTTCACTCTAACAAAGATCCGATGGCAATGCGAGGGGTCGATTTCAAGTGGTGAGTTAAAATCACATCAGGTTTTTTTTCTGGGGTTTTAGTCGATGATCACTTATCACTGTTAATTCTCGATTTCTTGCAGGTACGATGGATTCTTCTTGTCGATGCTCGCCACAAGCGTGTATGCTATTCTTGAACCCTAATTTTGTGCGGTTTCGGTGGAAATTAGTGGGCTTTTTTGTTGATTGATTGTATTGAATAGGATAATTGTGTCGATCAAGTGGAATCGTTACCATCTTTGTGTTCATCCACTGCATATATGGATTGTGGTGAGAGCTACAGCTACTTTTCGTTCTTGGGTGTTGCTTATTCTGGGTAATTTTGAAGTTGGGACTTAGAAGTGTTTGTGGATTCAGGTGGATTATTCTTCGGTTTTCATGTTTCGGCTGCTGATGTTTGTAGATAATGGGCTCGCTGCTGGAATGGGTTTGTAAGATCCTACTCCACTTTGTCTATCCCGATTTAATGCTTTGATTTTGTCTCGCACGTTGTTTGACTCCAATCAATTTAGTATTTGGGTCATTGCTACACATGTGTTTTAGTGAAGTTGGGTTTGTTGAAGCTTATTGTAGATCAAATTTCCAATGTGGAAGTTGGGTTTGAGCTATGGGAGACTATGGAAGTCACCCGTAACCGTGAAATACTGTGATTGGTCAAACCTATGCTGAGATGTAGTGTAATTAATCATTCAAGTTCAAGATGAAGAATTATAACTTTCATAATTTATCTATAAGATTTATCTTGCAAGGTAAGATAATACCTCTCTGACTCTCCATGCAAGAAAACTGTAAATCTACTCATTTGTTCAACAATAGGTAACTAGGAGAAAGTTTAATATGAAGGCATAGTTGGTAAAACTTCAGACGGTTGGATTCTAGTTTTAAGGGTTACCTTTGTTATCCCACTATAGAGTATAGAACAAGGATCAAATCTTTCTTGTCCGCTTGTGGTGTTTGGATTGATCATGTATCTGCTAGAGCTAATAGCCTAATATAGTCTCCATTGTATTATTCCTTTGACATGCATGCAATGCTTACTTTGTCCACTGACTACTAGTATCATATTCCACCATGAGACAGGTAGGACAATGCCCACTGCTAGTATTCTCATGTTAGCTCTACCTCTAGACAACTAGCAACCTTCAGGATCAATGCCCTAACAACGAATTCCACTAGTGTAAGATACTTCCATCAGTATTTATTGTTTAACATGATCACCTTTCCTTCTTTTATACACTTACTGTTACTGTAGAAGAAATTGAGACTTGAGTGTTGCATAGTTATATGAAATTTTAGCAGCATTACTTGTCAGGTTTGTTTTTCCCACTGGCCAGATTGTTGCGAAGATCTCGAGTCTTGTCTATAGTTCAAGGGAAGGTTGATTTAAGTCCTCTATTAATTATGACATCTAATCACCCTTTTTCTGTACATTTTGAGTTAGTGCAATTTGGTACAACCTTTGAGGTTCATGTTGCTTTATAGTTCAAACCTGGATGAGAAAAGCTAACAGTTTTGATGTAAAGAATTGGATTCATGTTACAAATGAACTAACCATATTACTTGCCTTTATATACAAACAAGACTGCCATGTCACTAGTTAATTATTTTAATAGTATGAAAAGGATTCTTGTATCATTATAGACTGACATATAAGTTGCATCAAAATAGCTAGTTGCGACACCTTTGATTGTAGAAATCAATATTTTTTTGTATTTAACTTGTTACAATTAATACTGAAGTAAATTAATACCAAGTAATTCTTTTTGTGATATATTGAACTAGCAAAATACCAAAGGCTCCCAACTTTGCGAACATGTATTTCGTGGTCTACCTTAAGGGCTTGTTTGGATTGAGGGGAATAAGGGAGAAGGGAAGTTAGGGGAACCATTCACCTTGTTTGGGAACACTTAGGAGGTGAAGTTATTCACCCTAGTTCCCCTTAGTTCACCCCTTAATAGTATAAAATTTGTTACCCCCCAAATTGGGGTGTAACCAAGGGGAAGGGAACTCTCTTCCTTCTCTTTTCTCACCTAGCTTCCCTTAACTTCCCTTAACCTCATTGAAATCCAAACACGCCCTAAGTGTAAAATAATTACTCTTCTTGGTATTCAATTGTTAATGATAAAACAATATATCAGTTCCATTTACATGCTGATGACCCTGATGTCGTGTTAAACATTTTGATTTAAAGAGACACCTGTTTCTCTTTTGCTATCTATTTCTAGAGACCTCGGATGGCAGCAACGATATGCTCGGTTTGTTGGAAGAATTGTTGTCCTTTCGATTCTCGTTCTTCTTCTCTATCCATTTCTCTGCTTCTGGACAGTAATTGGCACACTATGGTTTTGTAGCTCAAAAAGCTGTGTAAGTTTTCTTTCTTTTTTCCCTTTTCTAAAGCATATTCTTTTGCTTGAAGCATATTCATGTTTCCATAATAGCCTCATCATTGTATGCATTCTATTAATTTGGTTGCAGTTGCCTGAGGATGGTCAAAAATGGGGTTTCCTTATATGGCTTAGTTTCAGCTATTGCGGTCTTGTTTGCATCGCTTGCATGGCCACCTCGAAGGTTTGTATTTTGTATGGTCTTCTGTTCTGGTTATTTAGTTCTACCTGTCATGGATAGTTATTTTTACCCAACAAAGTGGAGATGGAAGGCCTAATAGATATTTGTAAACAGATGACGAACTGTGTCCATGTGCTTGGGTCCATGAAATTGATGAAATCGTGAACTAGAAACCTGCTTCCCTTACATCAGAGTAGAGGATCTGTTATGTCTGTTGCTGGTATCTTGAGGAGTGAGATGTTTTTGCAGTGAATTAGAAATCAGAACATGTAGCATGTTTATCAGTTCCAGGGTTATGTTAATATTAGTAAAAACCAATGGTGACCATTGATTTCTCAACTGATAGGCACTGAATGCCAAGCATTACATGCATAATTAGATTCCCAGTTATAATCATTACTTAACTGTTGACCACGGAACATGAATGAGTGTTTGAACATGTTAACTTGATAACTATAACTATTCTCAACTATCTTAATCTTTTCCCAACTCTTCAGCATGTCATCATATTAGTTACAGGAGTTCGTCTATGCTGTTGTTGCTGTGTCATAGTTTAGAGGAGATTGCAGTAGACTGAAATATGATAATTTGTATTTGAAAATGACATATGTAAAAAAATGATGTATGCGATACAAACACGAAGGAGTAAGTTTGGCTTCAACTCTGGGTTAGATTAATTAAAGTTCGACTGGGTAATGCACCAAACGGAATTTAATCCTTTTAAGTTCTTGTTAATAAAAAAGTTATGCACCAT